TTGACAATATAAAGAGCTTTCTCTTTTGTCTGCACAGAATTGCATTGAATAGATGTTACAAATAGTCTTATTTGGGTTGCTTTTATTTTTTCTGTTCAAAACTGCTTTTTATATTCATAAAGGTATAATTTCATACATGTAAAAGAAAATGGGTACAAGTAGAACTTGCTGACTCAGAATGTATGTATCTTAGATCTTGATAGATGTTTCCAAATGACCTTCCAAACATGTCATACTATCATAATAACCTCACCAACTTTCGTGTGAACAAATGTCTTGGTATTTTCCAATCTGTTACATAAAAAATGGTCTTTAATTTGCATTCTTCTTAGTTTGAATAAGATTTTTAAATGCACTTTTTGGCATCTATACATTTTTCTACTGAATTTTAAGTTATTTTTAACTCTTAGTCCCCTTTATTCCCCCTCCCAAACCTCAAAGATGTCCTCTCCCTAATTCTCAGAACCTATGAATGTATTAGAACTTCCTTTTAAGTATTTTAAAGATGCTCAAAAATGAAATTGCTACGTTTTTAGCAGTAAGTTTTTTTTTTTTTTTAAGATTAATTTATGCATACAAGAATTGGGGTATAGGCCAGAGGTGCGGGGGTGAGGGTGGTGGTGAGAGTTTTCACCAGAGACAGAGTCAGGAGCAGAACAGACGGATTGACCGAAATACACTGCTGAGGGGAGCAGTGGGTGAGACAGGAGAGGTCTGCCACGCCATGTGGGTCACCTCCCTGACCAGGGATCAAAATTTGTGCTGCAGTGGCTGTAGCTAGCGTCATAGTGCGCAACTTAACCCCTTGCGCCTCCAGGGAGGCCCAGTAAGTTTTTATTATAAGTGAGTGTTGTCTCAAAGACTAATAGGTTGCAAATATGATACCCAGAGAGAGTAAAAATCCAACAGAGCCTTTAATTTAATGATGGCAAAGTTTTTTTCCACATTGTAATGAGCTAGTTACATGTTCAGGAAAAATCATTTACTATTTTATTTTTATTATTTTTTATGTATGTGTATTTTTATTATTTTATATATTTTTTACATCATTCTTTATTTTTATACAATGTATGCTGTATCATCTCTGGTATAGTCCCTGTGGAATTCTCGCCACCAGTTCACCCATGTCCCATCACCATAGTCCCTTGTGCTCATCCCACCCCTTTTTTTTTTTTTTAAGATTTTTATTTATTTATTTATACTAGCACTGGGTACAGTCAGAAGCGCGGGAGGGTGAGAGGATTCACCAGAGCCAGAGCAGGGAATAGAACAGGCAGACTGACGAAATACACTGCTTACGGGAGTAGTGGGCGGCAGGAGAGGTCTGTTGCGCCATTTGGGACCCTCACTGGCAGCCAGGGATCAAACCGGTGCTGCAGAGACTGCGGGAAGCTTCTCAGCCCAGCACTCAACCTCTGCGCCAACAGGGGAGGCCCCCCAACCCTGTTTTGATCCAACTCCTTCCTCCTCCTCCCTTGCAGAATGTCTCTGGTTTATAGTTGCCTATTGATGCAGATTTTTACTTAATTGTAATTACTCTTTCCCCCCTGATCCCCTGTATTCCTCCTACAAGTGAATCCATCTGATACTTTTCTTTTTCTTTCTGGCTTATTTTACTGAGCATGATCCCTTCCAGCTCCATTCATATTGCTGTGAATGGCATGAGTTTATCTTTTTGATTGCTGAGTAATATTCCATTGTACAAATGTACCATATCTTCTTGATCCAGTCATCTATGTTGAGGCATTTGGGTTGTTTCCATACCCTATCTATTGTAAATAGTGCTGCAATAAACATAGGGGTGCAGGTGTCCTTTTGAGTTGATGTTTTTGTATCCTTTGGGTAGGTACCTAGAAGTGGAATTGCTGGATCATATGGAAGCTCTATTTTTACCCGTTTGAGGAACCTCCGTATATCTTTCCATAGTAGTTGGACCAATTTCCATTCCCACCAGCAGCCTAGGAGAGGAGAGTTCCTTTTTCTCCACACCCTCGCCAACATTTGTTGTAGCTAGTTTTCTTAATATGTGCCATTCTCACTGGTATAAGATGATATCTCATTGTAGTTTTGATTTGCATTTCCCTGATTACAAATGATGCTGAACATTTTTCATATGCTTGTTGGCCATTTGCATTTTCTCTTGGGCCCCCCCCTTTTTTTTAAGATTTATTTATTTATTTATTTATTTATTTATTTATTTATTTATTTATGCAAACGCTGGGTACAGTCAGAAGCGTGGGAGGGTGAGAGAATTCACCAGAGCCAGAGTAGGGAACAGAACAGGCAGAGTGACGAAATACACTGCTGAGGGCAGCGGGTGGTGGCAGGAGAGGTCTGCTGCGCCATGTGGGACCCTCACCTGCGGCCGGGGATCGAACCTGCGCTGCAGAGGCTGTGGGCAGTTTCACAGCCCAGCTCTCAATTGCTGCGCCACCAGGGGAGGCCCAGGCCCATTTTTTGACTGGGGTTTACTATTTTAAATAGGAGAATATGATTTGGTTCCTTGCTTTTAAGCCACTTTTATATAAGGAGGAAATGAGAAGCACAAATTTTATTATGCTGCAGGGCAGAGTATGACAAAATTCGTGCTAGCTGACATTGATCCTTGGGTGTGGTTACATGTTTTAGACAAGTTTGTGCTTCTACTTGAGAAAAGAAGATAGCATTTGAAGATAAGGAATTAGGAGATTAAAAGCACAGTTAAAAGATTAACCTTAGCAAGAAGAAAACATCTATCATAAAAACCTCCAAACCCCCTCACATTTATTGAGTAACTTGAAGAATTTTAAGGTAAATGTTGTAACCATGGGTCTTGAAGTTGAAAGCTGAGTTGTTAAATTATAAACTACTATACACTGCGGCACAGGGAATATAGATTTATTTACATAACCTTTTGGAACACTGTACTTTTATGCTTAAAGGAGTAGGTAAGGCAAACAGTTACATATTTGGGGGTGTGTCTGTATTAATATATATGTATTTATATATTCAAAAGTGGTTCACGTATATTACTGGCCACTTTTAAAACCCTTTTTTCACATTACTCTGGATAGTGTAACAGCTTCCCCAATTTTAAATTCCTTGTTGTAGTAATAATAATTAATTTTTATGTGTCAGGCTTTCTCTACATTTCTTAAAAGATAGGAATTACTAGGACCACAACTAGTAAGCTGCTGAGGCAGGATCCAACTTACGAAGCTTTGATTCTTGACTCCTCACTCAACCACAACACAGTGCAGCTTTGAAAGTATATAGCTCTCTGACAAGGCTTGAGTCGTCATGAATACATTAAAAAACTCAATAGTAAAAGACAGTGTAATAAAAAATGACCAAAACCTTTAAAAAGAAAAAGGTGTACAAATGGCCAATGTGTATGAAAAGATGCTCAACATCATGAGTCATCAGGGAAATGGATATTAAATTGATCACTCACAATAATGAGTAAGAGTAAAAAGACTGAAAACACCAAGTGTTGGCAAGGGTGTGTAACAACTGAAACTGTCATACATTACTGAGGGAATATCATGATACAATGTTTGAAAAAACTGTATTTCCTTATATAGTTAAATATGCTCTCCCATCATCCATCAGCTCCATTCCTAGCAGTAACCTAAGTGAAATGGAAACGTAGGTCTCAGAAAGACTTGTATAAGAATATTTGCAAGTTTTACTCATTATACCAAACAACTTGGAGCAATCCAAATGTCCATCAATATAAGAAAGAATAGTGATATATTTATTCAGTGAGGAGACTATTAGCAGTACAGAGAATGAACTATTGATACAACAATGTGATCAGTGAAAAAAGTCAGACCAAAAGGATACAGAAGTCATTCTGTTTTGATTCCATTTATGTGAAGCATGAAATAGACAAAACTAATGAATACATGGAAGCTTAAAGAAATTTTCCAGAGTTATGAAAATGTTCTGTCATGATTATCATATTGGTTATGCAGATGTATGTATGTATTTGTCAGAATTTGTTAAATTGTATGTTTAAGATCAGCATATGTTATGGTATTAAAGTACTCCTCAATAAAATAAGATATATGGTAAGAAAAAGAAAGGGGGAAGATTTCTGACAAGCACTGTGACAACTGAAATGACAACTGACAACCTAACACTTACAACATGCCAGACACTAAGTAGCACAGAACTATTACTTAGAATCTCAGTTGATACTCATAATAACAAAGATAATTTTGAGCTACATTCAGTATAATTTTCAAAGAATCAGCAAGCACACTTTTAGAAGGGATTTGTTTAATAATTATATTAAAAGTTTTAGAACTGAAATGTTTAGATGTTCATTATCTAGAACACTGGTATACAAAACATTTAGATTTTATATAAAAAACCTATGTAGTTAATACTGGGAATTGATTGAGTGGAAATAAAACATAGTGTCTTAAGAATAGAAACTCAAAAAAGAAGGCATGAAAGATTTTATAGACAGTTTGCTTGATAAATTATTGAAACAAAATTTCTCTGTATGACTTATGTGATTTAGATTTACAGTTGTAAGAAGAAATTGAAAATGTGGCATCTGAGGCATATTGTTAGAAACTTAGAGATATCACATTTAAATTACAACAGTAATTTCTCCTAGGTTATATTGCAACAGATGGACTTATATAGACAAATCTGGTGGGTGGCCTATGTAGTTTTGACAGTGTTTTGTCTGGGGTCTTTCATCACTTGTCCTGTGACAATCAAATAATGCTTGAACTACTCAAATGATAAATTGAAATAAGCGTTCCGTAGTTCTTTATTATGAGATTAGTCTTCAAAACAAAGTTTAACTTTTAAGTTAGTGGTTTTTGACCTTTTTAAGTAGGTTGCTTTCAGTGGACTGTCATGAGCCCAGTAATCCCATTAATTATTATACATTAACTAATGTGGCCCTTGGTTACTCTAACATGACTGACAGCTTGACTGGATTTTTATTTTTTATGAAAAGCTAATTTTAGTGTTTTTTTTTTCTCTCTCATTTATTTTAGTAATAGTTATGCACGAGTGCGAGCTGTGGTGATGACCCGGGATGACTCAAGTGGTGGATGGTTACCACTTGGAGGGAGTGGACTAAGCTGTGTCACTGTTTTCAAAGTCCCTCACCAGGAAGAGAATGGCTGTGCTGACTTTTTTATCCGTGGAGAGCGACTCAGGGACAAACTGGTAATGAATAATGCATCTATTGATACAATTTTATGATTCTGTAAAATTATTTAAAATTATGATTATTTCTGTAGCTCTTTTCATGTTAAAGATACTGGAATATGTCTGTTTCTTTGCAATTAGGGCTGACATTAATGTACACATATTAGAAAGGAACTGCTTTTCTACTTAGGTTTAATGCAAGAACATTCACGAACAGTCCCACTAGTTACTAACTAAATACAGCCTGCCTCCCTTTTTTCCTACAATCCTTGATGCTGGAAGTTGGCCACTATATAGTACACAGACCACATCTACCTATTTTGTGTCTGGCCCCATCAATTAAGCATAGTTTTTAGTTTTATGAATGATTGAAAAATACAAAGAACAGAACAATTTTCTGACATTTGAGAATTATATAAAATTAAATTTCAGTGTCCATAATAAATAGTTTCATTGGAACAGAGCAAGCTCATTCTTTTGCATTCTGTCTATGACTGCTTTCTCACTCCACTGACAGAGTTGAGCAGTTGCAATAGATAACATAAATGTCTGACCCTGTAGAGAAAAATTTTGTAGATCCCTAGCCTAAACACCTGCATTTTCAGGTTTATTTCTTCTCATTCTGTATTAATTAGTTATTCTAATCTTGTAGGACTATCTGGTGGCCAGCCTAGTTTTTAACATTACTGTATTCCATCTAGACGAGTGTTTTCTTATATCTATATTTTTTTAAATTGAATCCAATCTTTGCTAGTGTTCGGTGTTTTTTAATTAGTGTGAGGAAGTCTTTCATTTTCTTTATGTCACTTATGCACTCTTAATCATATCTGAAAAACTAAGTAATATTAGCGTCTTTTTTTGCGTGAGGCAAAATCAGAGCATACATTTAGGAAAACAGAATGAGCAAGTGCCAAAAAATGTCTTGGATACTTGAAAATGACTAGAATTCCCTTTATATATATACTTGTGAAAAGAAAAATTGTGGACTGGTATTTGAGCTTGTTTGGCATCTATAATGTTATTTCTAATGAAAATGCATTATAAGTTCCAAATAATTCTTTAATAATATAAACATTCAGACTGGATCTACTTGGTTTCTTAATATTTTTTTTACTACTGAATTATTTCAGCATTTTAAAAAGTTTCCTAATTTATCTGTGCCCTCATTTCTGCCTCAGAGAATTACCCTAAACTAGCTTGAAAGCTTTGCACAGTAACTTTTTCATAAGTTTATGATTCACTCTTGACGTTGTATCTCAGTTAACTAGAATGTAGTTTTAAGATTGTAGGAAAGCCCAGTTAAAGTCAAGTGTATATAATGCCTTGAACATGTCACCTCTAAAAGTTTATGTATGTAAAAGTGTTTACCATGGATAAGATGGTAGCATTGACATTTGCTATAATGCTCATTTTAAGTAAGACTTGTAGACTTTCAAGAAGGAACCTGTCCTTATGGGTAGTGTGTCTTATTTGGGGGTAATGATAACTAGGGAATGTTGTTGGAAGAGAAATTGAGGATTGTGTAAACTGAGTAAAATAACAGAGCTCTAAGGAATTTTTAAATAGTGAGATTTTTTTTAGTAGTTAGAAAAAAGGAAAAGTTAAAGGTGGCAGAGGAGTTGGAGGAAAAAAGCATGCTAAAAAAACATAACAGCAAGGAAAAGATCACTTAGATATGAAAGAGAGTAAATGAATTAGTGAAATAATTGGTTATATATTGATGAAGATGAACATAATTGACTTTCATGCTTATTGGTGATTGAGAAGGAATTTACAGAAGAAACACTGGACCTGGTTGGTGTAAACTAAGATGATGAAAGTACCACCTTTCTCTCAGACACTTTGCTTTTTCAAGCGATTCTTAGAATTACTCTTCTTTCTTTTTTTAAATTTTTACTTACATCTTTTACATTGTTGTTCATAGTCCCTCCCTGTGTCCAGTTTATAGTTTGCATGCTAGTTTTGTCTTTATTTTTTTCTCCTTCGATTCCTTTTGTGGTCTCACTGTGTTCCTCATATAAGTGAAACCACCTGATATTTTTCTTTATCCTTCTGACTTATTTCACTGAACATAATCCCTTCCAGCTCCATCCATGTTGCTGCGAATGGCATGAGTTTATCTTTTTGGATTGCTGAGTAGTATTCCATTGTGTATATATGCCACATCTTTTTGATCTAGTCATCTGCTTTTGGGCATTTAGATTGTTTCCAATTTTAGCTATTGTAAATAGTGCTGCAATAATTATAGGGGTGCAGGTTTCCTTTTGAATTAATATTTTTGCATCCGTTGGGTAGATTCTTAGGAGTGGAATTGCAGGGTCATACAGTAGATCTATTTTTAGTAATTTGAGGAGCCTCCATACAGCTTTCCGTATGGTTGCATTCCACCAGCAATGTAAAAGGGTTCCTTTTTCTCCACATCCTCACCAGCATTTGTTGTTAGTTTTTTAATGTGTGCCATTCTTACTGGTGTGAGGTGATATCTCAATGTGGTTTTGATTTGCATTTCCCTGACTATAAGTGATGATGAGAATTTTTCTATGTGCTTGTTGGCCATATGCATTCCACTTCAGAGAAGTGTTTTTTTAGCTCTACAGCCCACTTTTTGACTGGATTATTTATTTCGTTTTTGTTCAGTTATGTAGGCACTTTGTAGCTCTTTAATATCAGTCCTTTATCAGTTGTGTGGGGTGCAAATATTTTCTTAATCTGTAGGGTGTTTCTTCATCTTGATTATTGTCTCTTTTGCTGTGCAGAGGTTTTTAGTTTGATGTAGTCCCAGCTGTTTATCAGTTTTATGTAGTCCCAGTTGTTTCTCTTTTCCTCTCTTTGCTTTGGAGGATGAGTCTTTAAAGATGTGTCTAAGATATATATATATATATACATATATACATATATATATATACATATATATATATATATATATATCATGGGAGTGTTTTGCCTATGTTTTCTTCTGTTTATTTTATGGTTTCAGGTCTTACATTCAGATCTTTTATCCATTTTGAGTTGTCATTTCATTCTTTTGCATTGGTGGTCCAGTTTCCTCACACCATTTAATGAAGAGACTCTCCTTGTTCCAGTACATATTCTTTGCTCCTTTGTTATAGATTAGTTGTCCATTTATGTGTGCCGTTATGCCTGGGTTTTGAATTCAGTTCCATTGGGTTTTGTTCCAGTACAATGCTTTTTTAATTTTTATGGCTTTGTAATATAGTTTGAAGTCCAGGAGTGTAATACCTCCATTCTTCCTTTTTCTAGTCAGGAGAGCTTTGGCTAGAATTACTTTTCTTGATCTGTATAAATTATATCCTACATTTTCTTATAAATAATTAACAAATCCTTTGATTCTTTAATGCAAGTTTGTGCTAGCTTGAATCATATCGTTGAAATTTATTTGTTAGTATGTAACCTGCCAAACTCCATATTCCCCAAAAAGAAATTTTCTCTTTTGCATTCATTGTTCATGAGATACAGTGGCTCTCATCTGTAAGTATGCTATTTTTCTTTTATAGGCTAACTTTTAATGATACTTAGCCATAGTGTAGGTTATAGTATTTGGCCATTTTTAGCTGAATTAATATTTGTGATATATAAATGTGAAATATTGAATTATACCTTTTTTATAAGAATCTGAATAAACTTGCAATAATGATAAAAAATTGCTAAAACAGTTACTACTAAATGCAGTTTTAATTACAGTGGAACTCTAACTTAGGTATTAATAGTGTAATAAGTAATAAAATATTTATTAAAATAAAAAATTGCTAAAGTTATATGCTTTTTTGATGTGTCTTATGGGCTAAGAGATAACCAAGAAATGAAGTGAGTTATGTAGAAGGATAGAAAAAGATAAAAGAATAGGACTCTTAAGACATCTGAATTACTTACCTTGCTCTGTGGAAATAAGGAAAAGTCACTGTGCTGTGTCAGAGCATAAGATAGCTGTCGTTATACACTTAGTATGAAAAATGTGATGATACTGAAATGAAGAAAGGGAAAAACAAACATCTCAAGTTTGGTATATTGCCAAAAATATTAAGGAATTGTTTCTTGGATTAATAAGTATTTGGGTTGTAGATAAAAAGTAGTATATAAAACTTAAAGTGTCTATATGGTAGATGGTTCTGTTGTTTTAAAAGGACACATTTTAAAATGGGAATTCTTTTCAGTTACTGTGGCCTAAAACAAAATTAGTGTTTTCTAGGAAGCAAAGTTACAGTGTAGCAGTAGCTTCTTCATTAAAAATGTGACTTGTCCCCTTTCCTCCATGGGAAAGCAAAAGACCGTGCAAATATCTTTCTGCCTTGGATTCAGCTTTATAAAAGTACAGAACAATTTCCTGCTTAGCTTTTCCCACTGTGCCTCTGAATTATTCCACTGTGAAACCTTAATCCTTTTACAGAACTCTTCCTCCACTAAAAGCCAATTGCATTAACTAACTTTCCCTTTAGCCTCCTAGTAATGCTTTCTCTTGGAAGATACTGCTTCTGTTCACCCTCATATCACAGTCTTAAAGGGGAAGGGGAGTGGGGTTCAGGATGGTGTGGGCATTAATTTTTCTTATCCCCCTTACATAGTGTTACTCTTACCATCTTTACAAAATATATAAATGTCATTATTGACACTCTGTACCATTTAAATTACCACACACTAGCTTTCATTTTCATATACTGACTTTAGCAGACAGTTTTTCCACATCTGAGCCTCATCATCATTCTTGGCTACTTTACTTTGCAGTCTTGACCTTCTGGTCTTCGTTTCAGCAGACTCCTTTCCTGGATCTGATTGTTACCCAGAACTGTGTCATTTGAAGAATTTTACAGTTTCCTGTCATTTCTTTTTATTTCTCTTTTCCTGCTCTTCAGTTTCACGCCTACTCTATTACTTTGTGCCTTCGATTTTCTCCCAATTTCACAAGATTTCTTCTGGCTTTATCTTATCTACTATTTTCTGTTTTAATCCAATCTGTTTTCCTTGTCAGTCATTTAAAACTATACTCATTCATATTTCAGTAG